ATTCATCCTTTCTGCCCTACTTTTGTTCTGGCAGGAAAAAATTTCAGGGAAAATAATCATTTCCACCAGTCATAGAATAACAATAGCTGGTCTTAACTTGAATAGTGATTTCAACCCCCTTAGCTAGTATATATCTTAGAGTACATATGCAGTCCACTTTTAGTCAAGTGATAGGTAGGTGAAGCTTTGGCATCCAGTGGGAGACGCAAACTTCTGGCCTGAATTTTAAATCGAGATGTTAAAAATTGAAAACACTCAGTGCTCTTCTTGCTCTTTTCAGTATGATTCAGTAAGTTTAACAGTGGATGGCGCTTCTTCAGTTATATTCTAATTAAGCAGTGACAAGTGTATAAACAACAATACTTGCTAATAGATTGATAATGGCAGAGAGTAAAGAAAGATTGCAGATATTTAAATATATGTTTGAGTGTTACATGAAGCCTATGTTTTCATTAATTAGCTCATTATTATTTGGGCCCTGTGTTCCTTGCAGCTAAATGCAACCAAATTGGCAAAACTAACCACTGAAAGGAGACTGATAGCCAGTGTTAGAGAAGGATAAGACTGTTAGGAAAATGACATAAGTCTTTTAGGCATTTAATTTTTTCTTTATATTCATTTATTGCACATATATATTTTTAAAACACCTACTCTGTTGAAAAACACTGTTGTGTGATAATCTACAATATCTCAAATCTTTTTAATAAAAATACACCAGTGTACAAAATAAATTCTGTTTTATAAACAATTATTTGCATCTTATACACAGTGCTGAGTCTGGGTGTGTAAGGGGGTAATAAATATTATTAAGCATGTAGAACCCACCAGGTTCCCCTGTCCGTGGGATTCTCCAGGCAAACTGGAGTGGGTTGCCATTTCTGTCTCTAATAATTCCCTGTGCTATATAGTAAATCCTTGTTGCTTATCTATTTTGCATGTCAGAGTATGTATCTGTTAATGCCATATACCTAATTTGTCCCTCCCCCACTTCCTCTCCCCTTTGGTTACCACAAGTTTCTTTTCTATGATTATGCAAGGTTTTATGTCTCAGTGCATTTCTGAGCATGTACTGATAAATTGTTTTCTACACCCAAGGTCTATAGGACATTGTCATTATCCTCCTCAGGATCTAAGACAAAGTGAGAATATTGAGAGAAGTATCTGGCTCCTTCCTGAGTTTGAAGATCATGTATTTCCCAGATAGAACATTATATATATATATATATATTCAGAAATTTCACAAATGGTTATTTCAGCCCACAAAACATTTTGTAACTCTATCTCCCTTAAACAAACAACGTAGAGATGCAAATTAAAATTTACATTCTCTACTTTTATCCAGCAAGAATATCATTGTTCAAGCAACTGGAGATGTCTGGAAAGGTAATTAGACAATCAGATTTATAGCCAGATTTAACCACTCAGCTCTTGAAGAATAAATATATTTAATTCAGACTTTTGTTGTGAAATAAAATGAACTATATCCCAAAGCTTTCTTGCTGTTTTCAATAACATTTCTTTTATTTAACACACCATTTGGCCACCATTTACAGTTTGTGGTAAAATTAACAGTGTGTTTGTAGCCCTGTGAGGCAGAAACTCCACTTTGACTAACATGCAAATTCAATGCAGACCTAAGTGTAGGCATCAGTCTGTGGCCAGGATTCTCACAAACCTCAATGTTTTTTCAATTATTGTCTTCCGATCAGAAGTTCACCTTGCAATCAAGTACATAAATGAGTAAGAAACTCATTTTTATTTCCAGTAGGATGAGAATATGTAGATTTTTAAAATTCTCTATTGCCTCGAACATAATGATTTTACCCCAGGAGCTTTAATTAAAAAAAAAAAATTCCTTTATTTTCAAGCTAAATAAATAACTAAATAAAGATGAAGTTCCCTGGGAAATTGAATAATGAATCAATTCACTGTTTCATTTGACTATGTAATAAGCCTAAATAACTACATGCTAGGATTATGTAACCCAAATTGAATGATTAACCTATTTTATTGCTCTCTCGAAGAATTTAGTCTAATTGTTTACGGTATAATTATCAGGAAATACTATTATGCTGTGAAGGTTTTATTTTCACTCCTATCATGTCTGAAAGTACTATATTTTAATATTTTTCCAACTACTGTAGTTATTAGGCATTAATATTTATCACACATCATTAGCAATGATATGCAAAAGATCTTTAGATACTGCTACATTTTCTTCCTTAAATAACATCTTCCATGTGAAAATACTTAAATGGAATATACTATAAAAAAGTAAATGAGAGCAGATTTCTTTGGACTTAACAAAATGAGAATTGAATTTAAAGAAATTTAAAGAAAAATGATTCTTTTTAAAGTGATAGTAATTAAATGATGCTTCTGTGCTTATTTACAGGCCTGATTACAAGTACCTCTGCTACTGCCATGCACACATGTTCACACATACACAATCTTGATCTGAATAGCTATTTTAAAATTTTTATTGAAACATAGATGACTTAACAACATTATTTTAGTTCCAGGTATACAACATAGCAATTTGATATTTTTGTAGATTATGCTTCATACAAAGTTACAAAATATTGACTGTAATCCTTGTGCTGTATATTATATCTTTGTGACATATATTTTATACCTAGTAATTTGTGCATCTTAATTCTCTTCAACTGTTTTACCCCTTCCCTCACCCTTCTCCCCTCTGGAAACCATTAGCTTGTTCTCTGCATCTGTGAATCTTTCTGTTTTTGTTACATTCATTTATTTGTTTTATTATCCAGATTCCACATATAAATGAAAACATACAGTATTTGTCTGTCTCTAACTTATTTCACTAAGCTTTATACCCTTCAGGTCTATCCATGTTGCCATAAATGGCAAAATTTTATTCTTTTGTGCCTGAATAATATCCCATATATATTTTTTATCTAGTCGTCTGTTGATGGACACTTAGATTAGGAAGCACCTAATCTTAGTCCTGGGTGTTCATTGGAAGGACTGATGCTGAAACTGAAACTCCAGTATTTTGGCCACCTGATGCGAAGAGCTGACTCATTTGAAAAGAGCCTGATGTTGGGAAAGATTGAAGGCAGGAGGAGAAGGGGACGGCAGAGGATGAGATGGTTAGATGGCATCATCGACTCAATGGACATGAGTTTGGGTAAACTCCGGGAGNCATGTGTAATATACATGTTTCAATGCAATTCTCTCAAGTCAGCCCGCTCCTTCTCCCACAGAATCCAAGTCTGTTCTTTAAATGTGTGTCTCTTGTGCTGCTCTGCATGTAGGATCATCATTACCATCATTGGTGTAAATTGGTAGTATTTCATTGTGCTTTAGTTTGCATTTCTCTATTGCCTGTTAGCCAGCAGTATATTTTCTTTGGAAAAATGCCTACTCTGACACTTTTCCATTGGGTTGTCAGCTTTTTTTGATGTTGAGTTGAATGAATTCTTTACTTACTTTGTGTATTCATTCCTGCTCTGACATTTTGTTTGAAAATGGAATGTGATAGGACCTCTAGGTGAATCTGCTAGGTACAAGCTCTAGGAGGGTTACTGACTGTACAGTCACTGCTTTCCCGGAGGTCACGAGGTCTGTCAGAAGAAGCTTAGTGATTGACTAACTCTAAAATAGTGGTAGGATTAAAAGGGGTTGGGTTGTTCTAGGCATGTCTTCGACGTGAGATATTTTTCACTGACAGATAACATTGTATAACAAGAAAAAGTTAGAATTCTAAAGAGAAGGACCATGCTCTCACAATTTTCTTTTACCCCTTGCCACTATGAGTTGGGGTTACCTGGTGGTTCAGCTGGTAAAGAACTCCCCTTCCAATGCAGGAGACACAAGGGACACAGGTTCAATCCCTGGGTTGGGAAAATCCCTTGGAGAAGGAAATGACAACCCACACCAGTATCCTTGCCTGGAAAATTCCATGGATAAAGGAGCCTGGCAGGCTACAGCCATGGGGCCACAGAGGGTTGGACATGACTGAGCACACACGCACATGGACACACCGTTGAGTCCTTGAGAAAGTCACCTAAATTCTGAGACACACTTGTAATTCATATATGAAAGATTTGTAAGGATTATAAAATATGCATTTGGGTGTTCTTAGCATCTTACGTGGCATGTAGTATTTATTAATAAGAGTTTCAGTCAGCATGGTGCATATACATACAATGAATCTTAATTCCCATTTTGATTGCACAGACTTCAAATATCCCATATTTCTTTTCATTCTTGGTTTTGATTATTTTATTGCTCTTCTGGATATTTTAGATGCTTCAGATTTTCAAACATGTCTTTTCTTTCAGCTTTTTCAGTATGCTATAACTTCTCTCATTTCTGTTTTTCTTCTTGTAATTATTTCTTTTTTAAAAATTAGTTTGAGCTTTTCTGTTTTCCTTCTGTGTTTAGGACATCTCAAGAGGATATCAGGTTGCTCATTATAAGGTGTAATGCATACTGTGTAGGAGCAAAAATTTTGTCTTGTTAAAGCTATTTAATAACCAACACAATGGAATTAGTTTATCCCATGTCCTTCAAATGTTCCATACAGATATCACAAACAAAAACTATATTTGTTTTTCTTCATGCACAATTTTTTCATTTATTCATTCAGAGATGACACAATCTGTCTGTTATTAGGGTGTATGCTATAAGAAAAAGACCAGAGGGACAGATTTTAGATTTCCAAAGCAAGGGAAATCATTATTAATATTCTCCCATCCTTCATTTGATAATGAGTGGTAAGTTTTTAAGCACTTTAGAAATTTGAACTGCCAGCATCTGAAGGATCTTTGAGAAGCTGTTGTGTTTTTGTTTTTAAATTGGTATCTTTTCATTGTGTCTGCTTGTCATTGAAAACATCAGTTTTGTTTGCTTCCTGAAAAATGACAGACAGAAAGAAGAGAAACAATGAAATTAATGGAGAGCTACAAGATACCTTGGCAGTAAGGTAGATCTGTCACCAAGTCATAATTTTATTGTTCTTCGTGCAGTATAAAGTCTGTCCAATAGACAATGAGTTGCAAATATAACTCTGTGTGTGAAGAATAATAATGGAAAAACTACAAGGAGAAAAACTGTCTGTTCTCACTGGTAAGTTGAGTGACTTCATCTGGATGAAAGGGTCAGGGGCGTGGGAAATAAATTTGAATACTTGCAGATGAAATATGAAGCTTCTTGAATAATAATCTAATGCACAGCTGGATCTTTTATTTCTATTCAGGTTTCAACCCAGAAGATAATTCCTCAGAGAGACTTTCTCTGAATATCCTAGAGAAAGTACGCCCCCCGACCCCAGTTTAGGCACTCATTATGGCATTTCTTCTCATCATAGCACTGAACATCATATTTCTTTATTCTGTTGGCACAAGACTTATGAATAACATGAGCATGGTCATTCAGACCCTTGCTAGTTTTATATTCCCAGAACCTGGAACACTGCTGACAGCCCTTAGCTGGTAATCAATAAGCATTCACTGAATAAATAGATGAATGAACACAAATAGGAAAGAAAAACTCTTAAAGTTAATCATTGATTTTTTTTTTTATTTAAAATTGAGCAAACCACACATGACAAAGGAAGTTTGTTTCTCAAGATCGCGCAGAATTGACTGTGGGTCTTGATTTGCAATCCACTATACTTTAGCTTGGGGGAAAAATATATATATATATATATTTCCACCATTTAGGGAGACAGAAAATGGTGCAGCTTAATTAACTCTGGGCAGAAGTTGAAATGCTGTCTTCCTTTCCTGGATACCAAGGATGATGCCTGTGGGAAGTTTACCATAAAGGGGTAGAAGCAGTTGTCCCTCCATTAAGTTGTTTTGTTTTTTAAACTTTTTATTTTGTATTGGGTTACAGCTGATTAATAATGTTGTGATAGTTTCAGGTAGACAACAAAAAGACTCAGCTATTCATATGCATGTATCTCTTCTCCCCCAAATTCCCTTCCTATCCAAGCTGCCGCATAATTGGCAGAGTTCCCTGTGCTATACAGTAGATCCTTTTTAATTATTCATTTTAAATATAGCAGTGTATACATGTCCATTCCAAACTCCCTAACTCTTCCTTCTCCACATCCCTCCACTGGCAACTATAATTCTGTTCCGTAAGTCTGAGTCTCTTTCTACTTTGGAAATAAGTTCATTTGTATCACTTCTTTAGATTCCACATATAAGAAATGTCATACCGATATTTCTTCTTTTATATCTGACTTACTTCACTCAGTATGACACTATCTCGGTCCATCCATGTTGCTGCAAATGGCATTATTTCATTCTTTCTAATGGTTGAGTAATACTTAATGGTATGTATGTACCACATCTTCCTTATCCATTCGCCTGTCAATGGACATTTAGGTTGCTATTATAAACAATGCTTCAGCCAACATTGGGGTGCATGTTTCCTTTCAGATCATACTTTTCTTTGGATATATGCCTAGGACTATAATTTTCAGGTTCATATGGTAGTTCTACCCTTCATGGATCACTGCCCTGTCATGGCGAAGGGGCTTGTATAACTCAATGAAGCTATGAGCCATGCCATACAGGACCACTCAGGGTGGACAGGTCATAACAGGGAGCTTTGACAAAATGTGATACACTGGAGGAGGGAATGACAGGCCACACCAGTATATGTGCCACGAGAACCTCATGAACTGTATAAAAGGCCAAAATATATGACACCAAAAGATGAGTCCTCCAGGATTGAAGGTACCCAGTATACTACTGGGGCAGAGTGGACAAGAATTACCAGTAGTCCCAGAATGAATGAAGCGACTTGGCCAAAGTGGATATGATGCTAAGTTGTCGATGTTTCTGGTGTCAAAAATAAAATCTGATGCTGCAAAGAACAGTATTGTATAGGAATTTGGAATGTTAGGTCCATGGATCAAGGAAAATTGGATGTGGTCAAGCAGGAGATGGTAAGAATAAACATCAACATCCTAGGAATCGGCGAACTAAAATGGATGGAAATGGGTGAATTTAATTCAAATGACCATTGTATTTACTACTGTGGGCAAGAATCCCATGGAAGAAATGGAACAGCCCTCATAATCAACAAAAGAGTCTGAAATACAGTACTTGGGTACAACCTCAAAAATGACAGAATGATCTCAGTTCATTTCCAAGGCAAGCCATTCAGCATCACAGTAATCAAAGTCTGTGCCCCTACTACTGATGCCAAAGAAGCTGAATTTGATCAGTTCTATGTAGACCTAGAAAACCTCCTACAACTAACACCTAAAAAAAAGATGTTCTTTTCATCATTGGGGATTGGAATGCAAAAGTAGGAAGTCAAGATATACCTGGAGCAACAGGCAAGTTTGGCCTTGGACAACAAAATGAAGCAGGGCACAGGCTAACTGAATTCTGCCAAGAGAATGCACTAGTCATAGCGAACACCCTTTTTCAACAATACAAGAGACGACTTTACACATGGACATCATCAAATGGTCAATATTGAAATAAAATTGATTACATTCTTTGTAGCTAAAGATGGAGAAGCTATATACAGTCAGCAGAAAACAAGAGTTGGTGCTGATTGTGGCTCAGATCATAAGGTTCTCAGCAAAATTCAGTCTTAAACTAAAGAAAACCAGGAAAAAGACTAGACTAGCCAGATATGGCTTAAATCAAGGATATGAGTTACAGTAGAGGTGACAAATAGATTCATGAGACTAGACCTAGTAGCAGTGTGCCTGAAGAGCCGTGGACAGAAGTCCATAATGTTGTACAGGAGGCCGTCAAGAAAACCATACCCCCAAAAATAACAGCAAGAAGTTGAAATGGCATCTGAGGAGGCTTTACAAATAGCCTAAGAGTGAAAAGAAGTGGAAAAAAAAGCAAGGGAGAGAGGGAAAGGTACATCTAACTAAATGCAGAGTGCCAAAGGATAGCTAGGAGAGACAAGAAGGCCGTCTTCAATGATCAGTGCTTAATAATAGAAGCAAACAACAAAAGAAGAAATACTAGAGATCTGTTTAGGAAAATTGAAAACATCAAGTGAGCATTTTTGCCTCAAGATTAGCACAATAAAGGATACAAATGGTAGATACCAATTAGACTCTGAAGGGATCAAGAAGAGATGGAAAGAATACATGGAAGAACTGTATAAAAAAGACCTTAATGAACTGGATTATTATGATGGTGTGGTTTAGTCACCCAGAGCCAGACATTCTGGAGTGCGAAGTCAAGTGGGCTTTAACAAGCACTGCTGTTAATGTGGATGTGATGAAATTCCAGTAGAACTATTCAGATCCCTAAAGGATGATGCCATCAAGGTATTACATTCATCAGGCCAGCAAATCTGGAAGACCGAGCAGAGGCCACAGGACTGAAAAAGGTCAATCCTAATCCCAACTCGCAAGAAGAAATAGTACCGAAGGGTGTGCTAACCATCAGACAGTTGCACTCATCTCCCATGCTAGTAAGGCCATGCTTAAAATCTTGCATGCTAAGTTTCAACACTATGTAAACCAAGAACTTCCAGATAGCCAAGCTAGGTTTCAAAAAGGAAGAGGAACTAGAGATCAAATTGCCAGCATTTGCTGGATTATAGAGAAGCAAGGGAATTTCAGTAAAACTTCTACCTCTGTTTCATCAACTTTGCTAAAGCCTTTGACTGTGTGGATCATGACAAACTGTGAAGAGCTCTTAGAAGGATGGGAATATCAAACCATCTTACCTGTCTCCTACAAAACCTGTGTGCAGGTCATGAAGAAACAATTAGAACCCTGTATGGAACAACTGATTGGTTCGAGATCGAGAAAGGAGTATGATAGTGTTGTCTGGTGTCACCCTGTTTGTTTAACCTATGTGCTGAGCACATCATGAGAAACGCCAGACTGGATGAGTTACAAGCTGGAATCAAGAGAGGCAGGAGAAACATCAACAGCCTCAGCTATGTGGGTAACACTTTAACAGCAGAAACCAAAGAGAAACAAACGAACCTGTCAATGAGGGTGAAGTGAAAGAGTCAGCTTAAAACTAAATATTAAAAAACTAAGATCATGGCACCTGGTCCCATTTCTGCATCAAAAATAGAAGGGAAAATGTGGAAGTAGTGACAGATTTCCTCTTCTTGGGCTTCAGAATCACTGTGGATGGTGACTGAACCCACAAAATCAGGAGATGATTGCTTCTTGGCAGGAAAGTGATGACAAACCTAGACAGTGTGTTGAAAAGCAGGGATAGTACTCTGTCAACAAAGGTCCATATAGTCAAGGCTATGGTCTTCCCAGTGTTCATGTATGGTTGCGATAGCTGGACTATAAAGAAGGCAGAAGCCAAAGAATTGATGCCTTCAAACTGTGGTGCTGAAGAAGATTCTTGAAAGTCCTTTGCACAGCAAGGAGATCAAATCAGTCGATCTTAAGGAAGATCAACCCTAAATAATTCACAAAGAAGGACTGATGCTGAAGCTGAAGCTCCAGTATTTTGGCGATCTGATGTGAAGAGCTGACTCATTGGAAAAGTTCCTGATGCTGGGAAAGATTGAACACAGAAGGAGAAGAGGGCATCAGAGAATTAGTTGGCTGGATGGCATCACTGATGCAATGTACATGAACTTGGGCAAACTGTGGGAGATGGTGAGGGACAGGGAGGTCTGGCGTGCTTCTGTCCATGGGGTCGCAGAATCAGACATGACTGGGTGACTGAACAACAACAACAAAACAACAGTGGTAGCTCTATTTTTAGTTTTTTAAGGAGCCCCCATACTGTTCCCCATAGTGGCTGTAGCAATTTATATTACCACTGTGTAGAAGGGTTCCCTTCTCCTCATCCTTTCCAGCATTTATTGTTTGTGGAAGTCTCTATGATAGCCATTCTGGCTGGTGTGAGGTGATATCTCATTGTAGTTTTGATTTGTATTTCTTTTGTAATTAGTGATGTTGAACATCTTTTCATGTGCCTCTTGGCCATCTGTATGTCTTCTTTGGAGAAATGTCTGTTTAGGTCTTCTGGCCATTTGCTGATTGAGTTGTTCATCGTGGTCCTGTTAAGCATCATGAATTCTTTGTAAATTTTGGAAACTAATCCCTTGTCTCCAAAGGGGACTTGCAAATATTTTCTCCCAGTCTGTAGGTT